TCTAATTCATTGTGAACTTGTCTGCTTCAATAGTGACCATGTAAGATGATAGGATAGCGAGTTATAGTGTGCACAACGATGAAGTCGATGTATCTCCATTTGCCTATTGTACCCGTTAAAATCCCTTCAGAGTCGTCTTAAACGGTCACTGCAATAGTTCCTGCATGTCAGTTGCTAGACTGCAGAGTTACAGTGTGAACATGAACGAAGTTCCTTGTTCTGCAAGTCGTGTGCGTTATACCCGCTTAGAAGTCGTCTCATATGGGCATTGCGGACTCGTCTGCTTCAATAGTATCCATGTGAGATGATAGGATAGAGAGATAGTGTGTGCACTCCGAAGGAGTCGATGTATCTCCATTTGCCTATTGAACTCGTCTTCTTATACGGTCACTGCCATCGTATCTGCTTCAACTGTATGCATGTCAGATGCTTGACGGCAGAGTTACAGTGTAAACGAAGTCGTAGTCGAAGTTTCATGTTCTGCAAATTGTGTGCCTTATAATCGCTCAGAAGTCGTCGCATATGGGCATTGCGAACTCGTTTGCTTCGATAGTATCCATGTGAGATGATAGGATAGAGAGATAGAGTGTGCACACCAATGAAGTCGATGTAACTACATTAGCCTATTGAACTCGTTATATACCCTTCAGAGTCGTCTTATACGGTCACTGCCATCGTATCTGCTTCAACTGTATGCATGTCAGATGCTAGACTGCAGAGTCTTTGTGTAAACATAATCGTAGTCGAAGTTTCTTGTTCTGCAAGTTGTGTGCGTTATACGTTCTTGAAAGTCATCTAATATGATCATTGTGAACTTGTCTGCTTCAATAGTGACCATGTAAGATGATAGGATAGCGAGTTATAGTGTGCACAACGATGAAGTCGATGTATCTTCATTTGCCTATTGTACCCGTTAAAATCCCTTCAGAGTCGTCTCAAACGGTCACTGCAATAGTTCCTGCATCGAATGTATGCATGTCATTTGCTAGACTGCAGAGTTACAGTGTGAACATGAACGAAATTCCTTGTTCTGCAAGTCGTGTGCGTTATACCCGCTTAGAAGTCGTCTCATATGGGCATTGCGGACTCGTCTGCTTCAATAGTATTCATGTGAGATGATGGGATAGAGAGATAGAGTGTGCACTCCGATGAAGTCGATGTATCTTCATCTGCCTATTGTACTCTCTATATACCCTCCAAAGTCGTCTTATATGGTCACTGCGATTATATGTGCATGACTGTATGCATGTCAGATGCTAGACTGCAGAGTTTCTTCGAAAATATAGTCGTAGTCGAAGTTTCTTGTTGTGCAAGTTGTTTGCGTTATACCCTCTTGGAAGTCGTCTCATATGGGCATCGCGAACCCGTCTGCTACAATAGTATCCATGTGAGATGATAGGATAGAGAGATAGAGTGTGCACACCGATGGAGTTGATGTATCTTCATTTGCCTATTGTACTTGCTATAAACCCTCTAAAGTCGTTTTTTGTTAATACGATCATATCTGCTTCAACTGTATGCATGTCAGATGCTAGACTGCAGAGTTACAGTGAAAAAATAGTCGAAGTTGAAGTTTCTTGTTTCTGCAAGCTGTGTGCGCTATACCTTTTTGAAAGTCGTCTTATATATGGTCATTGCGAACTCGTTTGCTTCAATAGTGTCCATGTTAGATGATAGAATAGAGAGATATAGTGAGTACGCCGATGAAGTAGATAGATAGATAGATAGATAGATAGATAGATAAATATTTTATTAACTACGTTACATTATGATTGTAATGTTTGTAGCAAGTCATATACAATTTAATAGGAAAATAGTATCAACTGTGCAATAAAAATAACAAATAAAACAAATTAATACAACAATGAATAATATCATTCACAAACAAAATGAGTGAATAATTTAATGAAGAATATATAAATAAAACTACAGTTAACAACTTCACTGACTACATAAAAGCTGGGTTAAAAGGGAAGGGGTGCGTATGCTACCACATTATTCATTAGTTGTGACTACAGTTTTGAGTGTACTCCTCAATCGAATAAAAACAATTTCTTAGTAGTAGTTCTCTAAGTTCGTATTTAAATTTGCTAAATGACAAGTTTTTCATATGTTTGGGAAGTATATTGTAAAGGTGGATGTTTAACGAATTGTTTTTTGATTCATTCAGTCTGTATCGATTTGGGCGTAGATTGTCAGCATTCCTAGTGTTGTATGAATGTATGTCGGTCTGTTTTGTTAACGAGGTTGATCTCTTGTGAATCTCGAGAACCGCTTCATATATAAAAATTGTCGGCAGGGGCATTATTCTTAGAAGAATGAATAGCGGTTTACAGTGCTCATGGAAACCTGCATTACTAATGATGCGGATGGCTTTTTTTTGTAGTCGAAATATTGTAATAGACTCTGAGCTATTACCCCATAGATACGTGCCATAAGATATATGAGAATGGAATAAGGAGAAGTAGGCTGTTATTAATACGTCCTAAGAGCAAATCGGCCGCAATTGGCGTAGTACGAAAAGTGTACTAGCCAACCTATTTTTGAGTATATTAATGTGAGTGCACCAAGTCAAAGTACTGTCCAGGGTAATTCCAAGCAGTTCAGCAGTACCTTCATTGGACGTAGTGTTACGTGAGGAAAAAGATAATTTTTGGGTTTTGCTGTGATTGAGTTTCAGTTTATTGTAGGTAAACCAGTTTTCGGCATGGCTTAGTACCTCTCCCGATATTTTTGACATTTCATTATTATTTGCTCCAGAACAAATCAATGTTGTATCATCTGCGAACAATACAGGTGTGTGAGGATATAAGTATTTGTGCAGATCGTTGATATATATAATGAACAACAGGGGGCCAAGGACTGATCCTTGGGGCACTCCATGGTTAACTAATTTCACATCAGATTTGGTGTTATCAATAGAAACGAACTGAGAACGGTTTACTAAGTATGACTGAATTAAGTTTAGCGGGATACCTCGTATGCCGTAGTGATATAACTTTTGTATTAAAATTTCGTGAGACACACAGTCGAAAGCCTTTGTGAGGTCGCACAGAGTTATTGCCACCTGACGTCCATCTTCGAGGCTCTCGACTATGCTGCTCACTACACTATGGAGGGCATTAATTGTAGACACACCCTGGCGGAAACCGAACTGCGATTCATTTAGAAATTTGTTTTTTTCGAAATACGAATAGAGCCTTTTTTTCAGAATTATTTCTATTATTTTGCAGAAGATTGATATTATGGATATTGGGCGATGGTTGTCTGCAAGGGAACTGTCTCCTTCTTTGAATATCGGGATTACCCTGGAGAGTTTAAAGGCTTCTGGAAATGTACCAGTAGAAAATATCAAATTTACCAGGTACACCAAAGGTTCAGAAATGATGTCTATTGTATTCTTTATGATCTGGCTGTTCAGTTCGTGAGCGTCAAAACATTTTTTATTTTTTAACAAATCTACAGCCTCAGAGATGTCATGATGCGTTACCGGTTCTAGAAAAAAGGATTGAGCTGGGGCTGGAAAATTCTTAAAATTCAGTATGTCGGTATCAGGTATTTGAGGAAGCGATCTTATTACGTTCTCTGCTACATAAACAAAGAAATCATTGAAAACTTGCGGTGGTATGCTGCAAGACAAATTTGTTCTTTTATTATTTCTTTCGAAATTTATCAATTTCCAGCAGGCTTTAGCCTTATCATCTGCTGAAGTGATGAAATTATCATATGCTGTCCGTTTGGACTTCTTCAATTGCTCAGAGTATTTTTTATTATAAGTCTTATATGCTTCAAAACATACAGGATCTCTAGTGCTATCTGCAATCAACTCAATACTACTTAAAGTGTTTCTCATTGCCTTAAGGTTACTCCCGAACCAGCACGTAGGAGAAAACGTTTTGTAAGAATGTGTTCTCATTGGGAAGTAATTTTGGACAGGCTCATTGAAGATTTCCACTAGATGAGATGCCAAGTAGTTGACATTATTACTGCTGAAGAATGTATCCCAGTTCACTTCTTTCAGGGATTGTTGTAACTTTTCCATCCCATGTTTTGTAATAGTTCTGTGAAATGACTTACGATTTTCGTTACTAGTTATTTCTTTTAATTTTACGTACTGAGCTCGGTGGTCAGCTATACCAGGTTCAAATACACCAGTTATGAAGGATTCTGAATCTAAGTTGGTAAAAATATTATCGATGCAACTGGCTGAAGTTGCTGTGACTCTTGTGTATTCCTTTATAGTAAACGTTAGACCATATGAAGTGAGTATTGTAACTAAGTCATTTAGATCAGAAGATTTTTTCATGAAATCAATATTCACGTCACCCATTATTACAATGTTACTTCTACGTGTTGAAATGTTCTGGAGTAGGTTTTCTAGATTCACAAGAAACTGGTCAGGATTGCCGATTCCTGATCTGTAACAACTTATAATTATGACATTGTGGTTTACTAATTCAATACCACAGAACTCAGAAATTTGTTCAAAACAGAAATTTTGAAAGTCAAGAATTTCAAATTGAAGGTTTGGCTTTATAAATATAGCCGTACCACCGTGTCTAAGTTGTTTTCTGCAATAAGAAGAAGCAAGATTGAATCTTTCAATATTTATGGTTGATATTTCATCTTCCCGTAACCAGTGTTCAGAGATACATACTATGTCAAAGTCATGTTCGTGGAAGAGTGCCTTGAATTTTTCTACTTTGTTGGATAGTCCTCGTGAATTTATGTGGAACATACTCACCCCATGTTCACAATCAGGTGAGTTAGAGGGATACAAACACTTTTTTATTGCCAAAGAACGATTTGCGTCCTTCGCGGTTTTTGAAATTATGTTGTCGCTGGTGGGTGTTCCTTCTTCTAAAAATTTTCCTGGAATTCAAATCTTCTAATTGCGGCGCCCTTGGGCCATACAGATGGGCTATAAACTTCTTCAAGTTTATCGAGTGGGAAGGACACCTTGTAGGTTGATTGCCGTTCATTTCTATTCCACTCTTTACACTCAAATGCAATATTTGGTGCTGTGGATTTTAGCACCTTCAGCAGATCTTCTCTTTTCATATCGGCTCCACTGCGAGAAACATGTAGATGGCCTTGTCTAGGTTGTGTGGAAAAACTGGGTGACTCATTGCTTCCGATGACTGCCTTGTATTTATTTGCAGGTTTTTTGTATGGTGGATTCCTCTTGGCGCCTGCCATCGTTTTTGTTTCGTCTCCGTTATCAGAGGACGTTTTTTGTTCGGGTTTTGTAGGCTGTTTAACTTTGCAGCTGTACGATTCCTGCAAAACAATTTCATTGTTTTCGTTGTAGGTTTCTGCATGTCTTTTTACTGCGCCTATTGAGTTGGTGTTTTCGTTTATAGATGTCACAACATGTGGAGTTATTATTTTTGTATTCAGTTGTTGTTTTAATAAAAGTATGAGGTCTTCTTGCTCTTGGGTCCTCTTTTCCAAATGGTAACTTAGTTTACTCACGTATTCAGATTCCTTCTTCAGAGCAACATTTTCTCCTTGAGTTTTTACGCAATCTTTACAGGTTATGTTTTCCATGGTATCATGAAAATTTTCTTCTTCACTAGAATTTTGAGCGTTTCCACTGAGTTTGTTCACATATTTAACTAGGTGCACATTTGTAAACGATACTGGTAGCTTAAAGTTTATTATAACGTCAATTAATTCATTCTTTTTAAGCTTGTTTAGCTCAGCGACTAAAACAGCGACTGCATTCGCGTCCGCCATGTTGTATTTCTTTCATATATTCCCATTCGCCTGTTGTACTCGTTATATTTCCTTCAAAGTCGACTCATACGGTAACTGCCATCGTATCTGCTTCGATTGTATGCATGTATATGCTAGACTGAAGAGTTACAGTGTGAACATAGTCGAAGTCAAAGTTTATTATTCTGCAGATTGTGTTCCTTATACCCGCTTGGAAGTCGTCTCATATGGTCAATGCAAACTTGTCTGCTTCGAAAGTGTTCATGTGAGGTGATAGGATAGAGATTTATAGTGTGTACGACGTTGAAGTCGATGTATTCCCATTCGCCTATCGTACTCGTTATATACCCTCGGAAGTCGTCCTTCACGGTCACTGCCATCGTATCTGCTTCAACTGTATGCATGTCAGATGCTGGACTGCAGAGTTAGTGTTAACAAAGTCAAAGTCGAAGTTTCTTGTTCTGTAAGTTGTGTGCGTCATAACTGCTCGGAAGTCGTTTTATATGGTCAATGCAAACTTGTCTGCTTCACTTGTGTCATTGTAAAATGATTAGATAGAGAGATTTAGTGTGCACAACGATGAAGTCGATGTATCTCCATTTGCCGATTGTACTCGTTTTAAACCCTTCAATGTCGTCTCATACGGTCACTGCAATCGTTTATGTATCATTTGTACTCGTTATATACCTCTCAAAGTCGTCTTATACGGTCACTGCCATGGTATCTGCTTCAACTGTATGCATGTCAGATGCTGAACTGCAGAGTAACAGTGTGAACAGAGTCAAAGTCGGAGTTTCTTGTTCTGCAAGATTTGTGCGTTATAACCGCTTGGAAGTCGTCTTATATGGCCAATGCAAACTTGTCCGCTTTCATAGTGTCAATGTAAAATGATAAGATAGAGAGATATAGTGTGTACAACGATGAAGTCGACGTATCATCATTTGCCGATTGAACTCGTTATATACCCTTCAATGTCGTCTTATACGGTCACTGCAATCGTATATGCTCCAACTGTGTGCATGTCTGATGCTAGACTGCAGAAATACGGTGTTAACATAGTCGAAGTCGAACGATGAGATGATAGGATAGAGAGATAGTGTGTGCACTCCGATGGAGTCGATGTATCTTCATTTGCCTATTGAACTCGTCTTCTTATACGGACACTGCCATCGTATCTGCTTCAACTGTATGCATTTCAGATGCTTGACGGCAGAGTTACAGTGTAAACGAAGTCGTAGTCGAAGTTTCATGTTCTGCAAGTTGTGTGCGTTATACCCGCTCAGAAGTCGTCTCATATGGGTATTGCGAACTCGTTTGCTTCAATAGTATCCATGTGAGATGATAGGATAGAGAGATAGAGTGTGCACACCGATGAAGTCGATGTAACTTCATTAGCCTATTGAACTCGTTATATACCCTTCAGAGTCGAGTCGAGTCGAAGTTTCTTGTTCTGCAAGTTGTGTGCGTTATACGTTCTTGAAAGTCATCTAATATGGTCATTGTGAACTTGTCTGCTTCAATAGTGACCATGTAAGATGATAGGAAAGCGAGTTATAGTGTGCACAACGATGAAGTCGATGTATCTTCATTTGCCTATTGTACCCATTAAAATCCCTTCAGAGTCGTCTTAAACGGTCACTGCAATAGTTCCTGCATCGAATGTATGCATGTCAGTTGCTAGACTGCAGAGTTACAGTGTGAACATAAATGAAATTCCTTGTTCTGCAAGTCGTGTGCGTTATACCCGCTTAGAAGTCGTCTCATATGGGCATTGCGAACTCGTCTGCTTCAATAGTATTCATGTGAGATGATGGAATAGAGAGATAGAGTGTGCACTCCGATGAGGTCGCTGTATCTTCATCTGCCTATTGTACTCTCTATATACTCTCCAAAGTCGTCTTATATGGTCACTGCGATTATATCTGCTTGACTGTATGCATATCAGATGCTAGACTGCAGAGTTCCTTCGAAAATATAGTCGTAGTCGAAGTTTCTTGTTGTGCAAGTTGTGTGCGTTATACCCTCTTGGGAGTCGTCTCATATGGGCATCGCGAACCCGTCTGCTACAATAGTATCCATGTGAGATGATAGGATAGAGAGATAAAGTATGCACACCGATGAAGTCGATGTATCTTCATCTGCCTATTGTACTTGCTATGAAACCCTCCAGAGTCGTCTTTTGTTGAAACGATCATATCTGTTTCAACTGTATGCATGTCAGATGCTAGACTGCAGAGTTACAGAGTCGAAGTCGAAGTTTCTTGTTCTGCAAGCTGTGTGCGTTATACCTTCTTGAAAGTCGTCTTATATATGGTCATTGCGAACTCGTTTACTCCAATAGTGTCCATGTGGGATGATAGAATAGAGAGATTTAGTGTGTACGACGATGATATATATATATCCCCATTTGCCTGTTGTACTCGTTATATTTCCTTCAAAGTCGACTCATACGGTAACTGCCATCGTATCTGCTTCAATTGTATGCATGTCATATGCTAGACTGCAGAGTAACAGTGTGAACATAGTCGAAGTCGAAGTTTCTCATTCTGCAAGCTGTGTGCGTTATACTCGATTGGGAGTACCCTTTTATGGTCATTGCGAACTTGCAGACATGTCTGCTTCAATATTGTCCATGTGAGATGATAGGATAGAGAGATATAGTGTGCACAACGATGAAGACGAAGTATCTTCATTAGCCTATTGTATCTGCCTAATATGGTCATTGTGAACTTGTCTGCTTCAATAGTGACCATGTAAGATGATAGGATAGCGAGATATAGGGTGCACAACGATAAAGTCGACATATCCCCATTCGCCTGTTGTACTCGCTATATACCCTTCGGAATCGTCTTATATGGTCACTGCCATCGTATCTGCTTCAACTGTATGCATGTCAGATGCTGGACTGCAGAGTTTTTGTGTAAACATAATCGTAGTCGAAGTTCCTTGTCCTGCAAGTTGTGTGCGTTATATCCTCTTGAAACTCATCTAATATAATCATTGTGAACTTGTCTGCTTCAATAGTGACCATGTAAGATGATAGGATAGCGAGATATAGTGTGCACAACGATGAAGTCGATGTTTCTTCATTTGCCTATCGTACTCATTAAAATCCCTTTAATGTCGTCTCAAACGGTCGTTGCAATCGTTCCTGCCTCGACTGAATGCATGTCAGTTGCTAGACTGCGGAGTTAGGGTCCATATACATCATCAGAACGTATCGACACAGACCGTCGATTAGTAGGAATTTATTTGACTAGAATAGTATGAAATCAGAATAGCAAATCATCAGAACCATATTTCAGCGACTGCAATATGTTCAACCCGTAATTTGTCGAACCGTACTTTGACAGACTGCATTATGTCAGAATGCATAAATCACAATAGTATATCGAAAGACTGCCATATATTCAGAAGTGTACTTTGCCAAACCAGTAAATAAAATACTCTTCATGTCGTCAGAATCATAAAAATATATAATCGTAAAGTCATAGAACCGTGAAAGCACAGACTGTAATTCAGCGACCCGTACTCTGTAGACCACCATTTCATCAGAATGAACATTGCCGACCAGCAAACTGGCAGAATTGTGATGTACAGAATCTGAAAATGGCAGAATGCGAAAAGTTTATACCCGTAAAAAGACAGACTGTCGATTTTTGATACCCGTAAAATGAAAGATCCGTACAATGACAGACTCGTAAAAGCACAGACTGCCAATACTCTAGATCCGTAAAATGCAAGAACCGTACATCGACAGACTCATAATCCATCGGACTACCGGAATTTCCGATCCATAATTCATCAAAACCGTAAAACGACAGACCCGTAAAACAGCAGAATCGTAAAATGACAGACTCGTACAATGGCAGAATCGTGCAGCTACCAAACCCGTAAATTTTCAGAATTTTTTGGATTGAGACCCGCGAAATAGCAGAACCGTAAAATGGCAGAACCGTACATTGACAGACCCGTAAAACATCAGAACCGTACATCGACAGACCGTCAATATACCAGAATGTGTGAGACGCGTGGAGACTCGGAACAAGCGGTAGCGCATTGTTGCCAAGTTGAATCGACAGAAATTCCTTGCTATACCTACTCAAATCTGATTCAAACTGTTTTATGAAGAATTCTAGAGGGGTGAGGAAGGTTCTTTTTGTTAAAAAATCATATAACAAAACATCAGACATGTGAATATAACGATGTTTTCTATGTATAATAGGTGAATCTATTCTCGGAGATTCTATAAGGCAGAAATGGAATCATTGTATGTCCATTTCTGAACATTAAATATTGGAGAAAAACATCAAACTTTCAAACTTTTCTATAGTCCAATGGTCTGAGATTCGGATCAGAGTATATACCTTTCAAATTGATTCTCCAATTGAATAGTAGATAATATAAATAAAGAACTTGTAGCATTTGTATATCGCTATTTCGTTTCGGGAAACCTACTCCCCAAGAGTTTTCGAATCTAGTGATTTCTTATTGTCAATTGTGCTCAAATCCCTCGCATGACTTCACTTATAGATTATATACAGGGTGTCCCAAAATTACTCTACTTGAAGTAGAGATCAAAATAAGTTGATTGGACTCAATTCGTTTATATACCAAAATGTTCCGTTCGTCAATGGGGTACTTTGTATGTGATCAATGAGGTATTTTGTATGTGATCAATTTCATTTGCGTTTCGGATATCATAATGACTTCATTCATCTTCCATGAAATGTCAAATCTCAAGCAATGACGGCTCGAAATACCGCCTGTTGGTTGATCGAGGAGGTGTTACATACATTTCACTTGATTATTTGGGATTTTCCCTCCTCGCTCCTACAAAATAATAATATGAGCATAATTTCAATATACAGTGTGGTCATTTAAGTGTGCAACATATGGGAATCTTCTTAATGAATTGCACAACCAAAATACAGATAGTGCCAAGAGTTGGCAACCTTTGGCACTATCTGTATTTTGGTTGTGCAATTCATCAAAAAAATGTCCATATGTTGCACACTGTACAAGTACAGAGGATTTGCCCCAAAATTTAACTGAAATTCAAATGGCACTCTGTATGAATAATTTTACGTAAGTCGATAGAGCGAAAAAATACCTTTCAAATGACATTTGTTTTCAAAATGGCGGATCATGCAGAAACCTTTTTGTCTGCAATCATCATGGACACATTGTGACGTCATCCGTCGAATTTTTGGCAAGCATCCTTATAAAATGAAAAAATCTACGAAGCACTTGGATTAGTTATTGATGAAACATATTTTTTAACGCTTGAAGCGCACGAAAGGAAATCCCTATGATAATTTGTTTTTATTAAGTCATCATTTCAAACAATTTTCTTAGTCTTAAATTCCCCCAAGAATGTGAAATAGGAATGGTACTTTATTCAAGGAAAGTTCAGTGTAAAGAGGTCATTATGTTGTTTTTATAGGAATATCGAGGAATGTTAAATGAAAAAGTTGTTTGAAACCACCCAAACTTTTATTTTGTGTAGTTGTTTTATATACAGTGTCATTCGTTTTTTCGGGTAGGCTATTAGCTTTGTGTTTTTTTTTTTCAATGGCACACCCTGAATTCAGCTTTCCATGAAGATTTCGAGAATTCAATAGTTGATAGGATGTTTCATTCGAGAAATTGTCTATTATAAATGTGGAAATTGAGAATGAAAATCAACCTGTTTCAGGATATCCCTTGGAAATATTGAGTTTGGCTCGAAATTCTTTCTTATTTAATTCGACATGTGATGTGAAACTTTTCAAAACTACGGAAATATTGAAACTTCTCACTTTTCGTATAACCTGTGGTGTAAAGTGAAATATAACATAACTGGTTTAACTGGTGAAATATTATTCACTACAGCACCAGTTACGTTATTGAATATGTGGTTGGACGAAAAGAATAATGCATTTCAAGCTGCTTTCTCAATATCAGTTGGAAAAACTGAACTTGAATCAGCCATTTTCCACTGATGGAAGTATCGAACGAGTCTTTTTCGTGAATTTGGTCACTAATTTGCGATCATATTATTTTATGACGGATACTTCGAAGTGACGGGCGGAGTCGACTTGCCTATACTCAATTTTTGTACATAATCGGTAGAATTCATGTAGATATGATGGTCATTATATTATCTGTTCGAGCGAACATTTTTAGTAAAATTAGAAAAAAAATTACACGTAATACGTTCGTTCGTCCCGCATAATCCCGTCGTCAAACAAACTGACGCGTTTCCTAACTACTGGTTACGTAGAAAGGACTGTACATTTCGAATTCACACTTCTTGGACTACCTCCATATCTACGAAGTTCCTCAGCGATAAATGCGCTAATGCCAAATTGAAACTTTGTCTCATAGAAAATTTCACTCAGAAACTAGTGGCGCACTAATTTTCTTTTCGGGTATGATTTTGGAGGCATGAACTCTGATAGTGATATAGATTTTTATATTTATATTTCATATGACTAAGGTATGGACATGGATCGTGAAGTGTTCAGTTCTTGGGATACAAGGAGTTGAAGTGTTTTCGCAAAAACTCATCGAGAACGATTGAATATGACGAATGACGTATAGGATTTCTACTTTAAATACAGTTCATCTCCATTGAATATTCATCACCTGATCAGGAAGTCATTCTACACGTTTTATTCAGTGATGTGTTATACAGCTCTACGACGGGTTGTGTTAGTTTCTTCTTTCATTATATTTGTTACGCCAATTCAAAATTTTTTTAATAATCAATCTCTTAAATTTTTCTTCAAATTTTGTTAAAAAGCGCATAAACTTCATATGAGCTGAATCAAACTGTTCCTCACTTTGGATAGCAGAGTATCAAAAATACATTTTAAGACTATATATAATGCTTTGATGAGTCGTAAGTCGTACTTCTCAGTTTCTTTCTAGTAACGTAGCTGAAAAGAAATAGTTATTTCAGGTAGAAATTAAAAAACAACAGTTTTTTCCATAATGTAGGCGCATACCTAGAGTTTTGTTTTACATATTTTTGAAGATCAAATAATCAGATAGGTGACGTCTTTCATTTTTTCCATGCAAGGAGTAAACCGATTTCTTGCGTTTGTAGTGACTATCCTAATGCCAGAATAGCAGGCGTGAAGTTGGCAATTTCTTCCTGGATGTTTGGTTTTCAAATTTTGGGGTTGTCAATTCCGAAAACGGAAGTCACAACGTTTCTCATTGCTGATTTCAGATACTAAATGTACGGGGGGTTACCTTCCATATAGCAAAAATTCCTGTGGAAGTCACTTAGACCCCTCTGTATCTGCAACTCCCGATTTTAGTTCCCGCGTATATAGTTGACGCTGTCATCGCACAAAAATATGTACGAGCAATGCACTATAACCTCCGCATTGTTGATACTACGTAGTCACTTCCAAGTGTTGTTACCATTTCGCGCCAAATAATCAGTTGTGAAGTTGAAGAACAAAAACCCTCTAGTTTAATAACTTCATATGTGAGAATGATGGCATCCAGGGGTAAAATCATGCTAGAAAATTCAATTATGAAAATATAGGTACATACACCCATCTAGTTCGCGTGACCAACCTCAAAACATGATTCGGCATCTTTCGATCCTCCAGCAATGAAAAGAAACTCTCCTCCTGGTAGCCTCTTGAAGGAATCCATCAAATACTGGCTCAAAAATTTTATGAGTGCCATTTTATTTGGTGTTGATTTCAGAAAATTCCTGTAGTTTGGCACTGGTCGACTTCCTGTAATACTGAATACTCCTAGATTATGATGTCCACGTCTCTCCATGTCTTTTATGGAATCATCTATCGAATACCAGAAAAACTGAATCACAGCGAGAATATTTTTTGAAAATGAAAAGCATTCTTTGAAGTATCTTCTCTGCCAAATTGTTGAGAGTCTTGAAAGATTTCTCATTCACTTCATTCAGAATGACCATTCCATCTATGAAATAGAAACTAGTCGTTGAACAAGTATTCGCCAATATGTAACAATGTAGATATAACTTTTTGGCAAGATGTTTTTCTCATAGTCCTATCTTCATGAAAAAGAGAGAGTGGGACTGGTGTGAGTTCGTATATAGGGTAAAATATTAGTGAAATCTGAATCTTGGAACTGAGCTGCACTTGGAATTCTTCTGAACATAAACTCTGGATTTATTTTACTATTCTTTCCTGACTCCTTATAGCCAATTCGATCATCAGTGAAGTTTGACATTTTGAAACGACTGACAGTTTTCCAGAAACTAACAGTGCGTATTTTGGTGAACCTGTCCTCTCGACCATGGGGATGATGATGACAAAAAATGTCCCTGATGTTTAATTATTGTGCCCTGTTTAAGTACGGCAGACTGTGCGGTCTATCGTTCAATAACCCAATCATGGGGTATAACTTATAGTCGTAGGTAATATCCCGAGACCATGACAAATAGCCGACTATTATTTTCTTCATAATTCTATCGAGAGTACCTTGTATTTTGACAATTTGATGAGACCATATGAACATTAATAATCTGAATAACTCCCGAGAGCTACAGCTCGAGGGAGTTATTCTATGATTATTTATGTTCATATGGTCGAATTGAATTGTCCCAAAATACAAGTTACTCGAGATGAATTGAAGAAAATAATGGTCTCCATTTGTCATGGTCGAGTGATATTCAGGAAGATTATTTCATGAACAGTGGAAAAATACTGGTTCATATGAGTTTCAACATTTTATTCAAGTTACAATTCTGCAGATACTATTTGAATAAAAATTCTTCTGAAGCCCGTCTGGGGTATCCTCATCATATCTACGTACAATTGTAATTAATTCATCTAAAGTTAGAGCAAAGAAAGAATATTAGCGCTATTGAAAGCGTTAATATTCTTTGATAAGAGCTTTGGTACTTTTCTTTCTTGTTTGAGGAAAATATTGTAGGCTTCGCCTCTTTGCATTATGCGCAACCCTGGCACCTTCGAATTCGAAATATTCAAATGGATTTGTCTTACGCTTATGTTCATTGGAGTCACCTTCCTGTACTCGTTCCTGTATTATAGTTTTCCATATCAATTTCAACTGTGTATTCCTAATACTCCTCACCATTCTCCTCACCCAATCTTTCAGGATTTGGGCAATCACGAGAGATGTCGTAGTCGCAAAAAATTCATAGTCTTCCTACTGGCAATAAAACATGAATTGTTCCAGACAGACTCTTTACTCTCCTCGTTATTTTCTGACATCGATTCGGTTACATAATTACGGATTTCCGTAGTGAAAGTTGACCCAAAACGAGACATTTCAATTTTTGAGTGACTGGTATGTCAAAGGTTGACAACCATAGCACTCTTAGGCTGGTGAACAGAATAGCCGCTCATATTGTTTGTTTACCTAAATAGCCGCTGATATCGCATATCATGTGACTTCAATCATGACATTTCATAGGTCCAGCCGGGTGTGAATGAAATAATCGGTGGTATTTCCTGGAAACATCATCTCGCATACCGGGTAGCGGGCGGTAGTTACAGGTGTACTTACAGTAAAACGCTAATATCGAGAAATCTGTTCAAGATAGATCTTCATATAATCGATACGAAATGATCGTTATGAATTTCCGCAGTTATTTATGTGAAAGAAAAGTATCGTTCATTGGTCGAAAAATCAATTTATTGGGTGTTGGAGCAAACTGAAATGTGATGAAAAAGTGTTATCCTCTTATTCTTTTTAATTTTTAACATATTCCCAAATTTCAAAAAAATAAAAATACCTATATCAAAATGTAGTCGAATGTTTTCTCTATAATATGGAGAAAAAACTCATTTCCCTATCTCCTATCATAGTTGTAATATATCAACCTAATTAGAGAAAACAAGAAATTAAATTTTTTTGACATTCATCCCAAAATTTTTTCTCTCGACCAATGGAGAGTATCGTAAATCTTCAAAACACATGTAAGAACGATGCATATAATATAATTTCAAGGTTCCATCAAAGTATACTCCATGATTGGGTTACTCGATAAATAGAAGACTTTTCGCAAGAGATTTGCTGTTTTGCTTGTCTGGCTTGTCTCCAGATTGTGAATGTGTGGATGCGTTTCGCCTGGAAACGTTCCACCCCGCGTACCATTAAACGAATTACGGGTTGCCTAAGAGGTCCAAATCCTCAGACCTCAGATACTGGTTGTTAGGTATACGAAGAAGTGATTCGCTATATCAGTGAAACTCATTGTGTGGTCGATCATACATTTATTCCGGTTCTGAATAGCATTTACTTGAATAAAATGTTCTTGGGGTTAAAAACTTCTAACTCTTTCTCGGTCAACGGACGTCTACTCAATTTTTTTGTTCTAAAAGAACGAAAATTACAAAACTGTCGGTACACAGTAACACAATAAAAACCGAGTGGTACATATGTGTACTATATTGAGATTATTCATATGTGATCAACTATTACATACCTTATTATAGACCACACGTTTTCGCAAAGTTTATATGACAGAACAATCACAAATATTTTTCAAAGAAACATCAAAATTTAACGAAATATACACAGTCCCATTAATAATTATCGAGAACATAACCTTATAATATCAGATTGGTGTATTTTCTGCTTGCTTGAAACGAATGAAGTGACTCAGAATTTTTGCAGCATCTGTGGTACATATTATGTGTACCGTTCAGACTGAAAGAGGGATTTGGGGCAGAAAGTGCAAATTTTTGTTGGTCTCACGAAAGGCAATATCCCAATTTATTAAAACTTTTGGAAGTTTTTGGGAATACTTCAAAGAAGTTTTGATAGAGTTGTTCGACAAATATCGAGGTAGACTACAAATAGATGTGCTGTACTGAGCTTTTTGTCGAGTTCGTCTGTCTGCATGGTATTGCTAGTGATAGAATGATAACCGAACGTTTGAAGAAAATTTTCCGTAGAAGTTTTCATGAACAAGTGAGAGGTCGCTGTTGTTCCAATGATGTCAAGGAGTAAGTGAGTGTGGCATCACCAACTAGGTGAATTAGTTTGATGTTTATATATCGACTATGTGAACTCCGTAATCATCAAAGATATAACATTTTTGGAAACAGCAACTACTCCAACATAATTTTTTTTAATATATCAGAGGTGACCTTGGACCATAGGCGCCACCAGATAATAATAGGATATAGGGCGGACAAAATTCGAAGATGAAATCGGGTAACCTACGAATGAAAACTGAGTGTGAATACTCAAAGCTAATATTAATCTGTGTAATTCTCGAAATGTCATCTCCAACCATTCAGAACTTGAAGACTAATTTTCCATGATATTGACCATATCCACTCGTCAAAACTGAACCCATCACTAGTTCCTAAGCAGTTTTTTGAACAGCCTCTGTGAATCTGAGATAGAACAATCAATAAAACAATAATTGATCTTCGCATTGTCGAGTTTAGACGAAAATGTAGTTTACCTAACAAATGCCGAAAGTCATACTCTTTCGCACCTGTTTATTCAGATATAAAGAAATACATAGAGAATTCGCATTCGGTATGTGATGAGATTATCAATTCTTTCTCAGTATATTCAACAGAAAACAACTACTTTCCTGGCTGCGATTTTACTGAATATACTGTACGCTAGCACAAACCACGCCGACCGTAATATCTCATCTTCAAAGTACTTAGGCAAAACTCAGAAACTATTTATCCTTAACGAACTAACCTATCCCTGATTGCAATATTTGTGGAAGGAAAACCGAATGGAGTGTAGAAACACATTGATTAATAATATATTTCAAAAGTTGAGTTCTTTCAACAATATTGAATAAAATGAGACTGTTTATCCTAAACGCACTAACCTATTTGACTTCAAATATTTTATGAAAAAGGAAAACCAGAATGAAGTAAAAAAACAAAAAAGTTGCAAAAAAAGTTCAAGTTCACAGCGATTCGAACCATGGACTTTCAGACTGAAAGTCGACAGCGCTAACCAGTAGACCATTTGGGTGTATGAATTTACTGCGTACAAGAGATTGACAACGAGAGAGCTTCAGTCGAATTCGTGTCAAAATCATAAAAAGTGTATTCTTGCGTTCGAGCACAGTATATTTAGTGCGATGTGCTGACTCCGAGTATATCGGTAATGTTTGGAGATATGACGTATTATAGTGGGCGTGGTTTGTGCTAGCGTGCAGTATATTTAGTAAAATCGCTTCCTGGCTATATGTTACGACGAACATTCAATTATATCTTTTGAACACACACGATAATAATTTGAAGATGAACTCTTCTGAAGTTGAGAATTTTCATTTTCCTTCAAATAAAAATATATATGCACATAATATCATTCTGAATATACAACAGAAAACAACTACTTCTCTGATTATTTGCCACGATTTATATCTGTTCAACATCCAGAAGGGAACATGAAAATAAAAATTATCTGAAATTGAGAATTGGCATTCTCTTTCAATGTTTTTTTTTCATATTTTAGTTCCTCTGTTGATATTTTCTTCTGACATATAAAGACTAAAGGTTTGGTTCCTTGAACAATTTTCTATCATCAATAATAACAAAGTCATCGATGGCTGCTGACACTCAACTTGGATTACCCTGAAGAGTATCCCTTGACACGTGGGATTCACAAGAACGTTTATTTGATAGCTTCCATAGTGAGTTTTACAAGAACGTGTATTCAATGGCTTCCATATGTATGTATGTATGTATAAG